TGTGAGAGAGAGAGAGAGAGAGTGTGTGTGTGTGTTTGTGTGTATTCTCACTTCTATACCGTATTTCAGGAACAAACGTAAATCCAGTAATGAGCTAAAGGGATGTTTTCATTTGAGAAACTGTATAAATAAAGCATGTGTTTTTGTTGTGTTTTCTGTTAGGGTGTGTGTTGTAGAGCGCCAGACAAACATGCACAATCTCTATTCAACATTTAAATGCAGTTTTAAATGAAATGCTTTCACTCACTCAGATGCTGTTATCATAGAGCAGGGTTCCTCAATAGGCGGCCAGCGGGCCACATCCGGCCCGTGAGAGAAAAGGTTTGGCCCGTGCTAATTTCAAATAATGTGGCATGAAAATTCAAACACAGCATCAGAAAGCTACATTAACTTACATCGTGTCTACACCGGACGCGAGCGGTGCGGCGCGACGCAATACAGTACAACAGAACTGGTTATAATCAGTGATGCTGTCTTGGATACGGCGCGACACGACAAATCCCCGACAGTAAACTGCTGACTCGTTCTATTTATAACGTACTGACAACGTTCAAATGATTTGCAATGCTTTGTCGCGTCCAGTGTAGATACGATGTGACAGCAAAAACATGGCGAGTGTGTAGAAAAGAAAAGTGGACACGGAAAATAGACGATTCAGATGTGAATGGACTGAACAGTATTGAGTGTGAGTGAGTGACTGATATCTTTATAGAATACACGTGTTGGTTCGCAGTGAGTTCACAGTTTTAACGTACAAGTTTGCTTTAATTTATTTTCAAGATCTGAGGTAAAATATCTATTGTTGCTTTCACTATGGCTATAAAGATAACGCAAAATAATATTCAACCTCACATTAGACACTTTTAACATTGAATAAAGCACATAATCATTACCTGAGCAGTGTTGGAATTGGCTGGGGGGGTCCTGGACCCCCCATAATCATTAAGGGACCCCCCATAACACCCCAAAAATATACTTGGGGGGTCCCCTGGTTTTTCAATAAAACTTTAATAATTAAAATTAAGTTTCGATTGCTGTATTAAATTTAGACCTGCTTATGTTACATCATATTATATTTTTACAGTGTTGCTCATTGTAACCAATCACACACGATTCTGTTGAGTTTAGGAATGCAGTAGCCAATCAGAGGCGTTCAGATTAGTCATCGCTGAAACTCCAGAGGTTTTTTTTTTTTTCAGACTGAAACTCGCGAATTCCCTCATCATAAACAACAAAGTGCAGATGTACGTACTATGTAAGTTAGAGATTCATTTATCATACAGTGTATGGACAGCTTCATTGATTATGAGAGGAGTTATGAATGCTTAAACACTAGCTAGACTGACTGTTCTCGTTTAGAGTGTGTTCTTTCACTGCATGATTCAGTATAATAAAATGCATTTAGAATGCTCCCAAAATTCAAGATATGGGATTGAGTGTGAGTGAGTGACTGATATCTTTATAGAATACACGTGTTGGTTCGCAGTGAGTTCACAGTTTTAACGTACAAGTTTGCTTTAATTTATTTTCAAGATCTGAGGTAAAATATCTATTGTTGCTTTCACTATGGCTATAAAGATAACGCAAAATAATATTCAACCTCACATTAGACACTTTTAACATTGAATAAAGCACATAATCATTACCTGAGATTATCACTGTCATATTTTGTATGTTGTTCCTGCCGCGACATCACAGAAAATAAAAAAACGTTCCTAAAATAGAATCCCATGTGGCTTATTGTCACGTGTTGCTGTCGCGGTGGAAATGCATTTAGAATGCTCCCAAAATTCAAGATATGGGGGCAGAAGATGTATATATTTATATAATTTCATATAGTTGATCAATATCACAGAGTGCCATTTTTTATTTTTATACAACAGTTCAATAAACAAGAAGTTAATATTAAGAGACTTACGTTTTAGACACCATATTGCCTATTTTTTGCTCTATTTCGCCAACAGAAATGGTTCCAAACAAAACAGCACTGTTTTGCGTCTCGTTCCTGAATGAATCAACCGTTTAAATGATTCGGTTCAATTGTGACCATCTTGTGATTATTTTAACAAAAGCAACAATAATATAATAATTGTAATAATAATAACAATTATATATATATATAGGTCAGTGGCCCTTGGCTTGGTATTGCTGGCAGAACTCCAGTGAGCTTCAGTACCTGTTGATTCTGGACAAAAGCTCTTCAAACCATGTAATGTCTCTGCTGTTTTCATGTTTATTAATGCTTGTTCATATAATGCAGTGATTCACAAACGTCTTGGCCAGCCAAACCCCTTAAAATAAAATATTTACTTGAAATATGTCTGAGGAAGTTAATATTTCAGTAATTTAACAAGATATTTGCATGTTCACAGTTCTCTGATGTTGGTTAATGGTCACAATGACATGCAGGTAAACAGATAAAATATTTCTGTTTTTAGTGTTCGGGTGTTTTATTTTGATCTTTTTTATTTTAAAATAATTAATTTTTAAATTTTTATGATTTAACTAATTATTAGCTTTTTATCATCTCACAAACCCACTGCAGTTCTTACATGAAGCCCAGTTTGGGAAACCCTGGTGTAATGTTTAATGCATGTATGATGTTGATAACAAATAAAGGAACATATTTTCTTTCTCTTTGCTCAGTAACGCACTACAGTTTGAGAGTCTACCAGCACCTCGTATCAAATCAAATAGAAGCTGTTTGGCATTGAAGCTTAAATTTAATTTGACTTTGGTTTAAAACTTCAATCTTGTCATTACATTCATGTCATTTATGATCCGCTAATGTTACTTGTTGCCTTAAGTATTCCTTTAATATAATTTCCCCACAATAACTGAATGGTTTATTTCAGTCTTGTTAGATTATCATAGGTGTACACATGTAATAATGTATATTTACATGATGTATTTTCATATTTTAAAATGAAAGGTTTGGATGGGATGAGGGTAAAACAATCAAATCTACAGTTAAAGCCATTTGAAATGTCTTAAATGTGTTTTTGAAAAAACCCAAAGTTGAAAAGCATCTGGATTAGAGTCAGTATGAGTCCGTCTGGAGTGCAAACTGCAATCAGGAGCCGAACCCAGCAGTCTTCAGTGAGAGAGAACATAAACTAAGCTCAGCTGAAGAAGGAGAATCCGCTGGAGTCCCACTGCAGCTCATCACAAACCAGGAAGATCTCCGAGGCTCGAGAAGCAGGTGCTTCCTTCAGAATGTGAGTTTACTCGGACGCTTCAGAGGTCCACAGGTGCGTCTGTTAAAGATCTGTGTACAAGACGTCTGTAAGAAGTCAGTTGTACATGCTTTCTAAATCACAAACAAGTGTTTTTGTGCGTCTTGGAGCTTGGCATTATCTCTAGAAATTATATGAGATAGATTTCCACAGAAAAATTACCAGCAATCGGTTTTGAATGACTTTGAAGTTTCTGAACTATTTCTTATCGAAGGACTCTGAGCAGAATACACATCAGATTTGATTAAGAAGTGTTATTAGTACATCAGGGTGCTCTGAACATGCTTCGATTCAGACTCCACTGTCTGCGTGATTATAGAATGAGTGTTTATATTGAATAATGAAGCATATTGAACATCTTTATCATCTTCAGGTGATACTTAGACATTTAGTGAAGAATAACTTGTGTTTATATGAAATACAAGATTATGATGACTAATAAATAG